CCCCCCCCCAAGTCTAATTGAATTAAAAATTCGAATAGGTTTTTTCTTGGTGATGGGTAGAGTTTATGCTTTCGTGGTTCATTACTCCAGTGGTAATATTTTGTAGTTACAGATTGCATTGTTGATGCTTTGGGGTTTTTTGGTTTGTTAAATTGACATCATAAGTTAATGACTTAATTTGGAAATTGTTCCTCAGGTAACTTCATAATTATAAGACTTGGAGATTTAAAATTAAAACTCTGACAAGAAAAAATTTATATGAAAGTGGAATAAGTTTATATGAAAATGGAATAATATTGTTCACATAGCTCTTAGGTTTACCATGTAGTCAATATATGCTCTTTGAAAGGGGGATTGTTTTAAGGAGACTTGAGGCCTGGGGTGGTTAGATAAATAAAAGATGTGAAGAGGTAGAAAATTTTGTCACTTTCTAAATAAATAATCCATCAAACTGCAAGGAGATCTGTTTCTGTTAGACTGAGGAAATTCACTATCGCTCAATTAAAATACAGGAAGTTCTGGATTTAGCTAGAATGGTCAAGTTAAGCCTTTGGTAAAGGTCCTAATTTTTAAAAACTAATTTATCGGTGGTTTTTTTTGGTCCAAGATGCTGTGTGTATAGTAAGTAAAGTACTGATACAATGACTGAGTTAATTTAGAGACTGCTTTTGATATAGGTAAAGCAAATACCTTTATTTCTGAAATTGTAGGAAAATTTTACTTAAGCAGCCTATGTTGTATCTAAGTAGCACTTGGAAGAAACAGGAATGAATGAATGAAGGATAGAAGTTTGTGTTCCATTTCAACCCTATGGACTCATTCGTTTACTCAGATAAGAATTTTGGATCATTTGTGTAAAACCTTTCCCTAGATAAGCTCCAAGAGTATCCATACCTACTTTTGAGTGTCATTTAGGAAATATTTAATAGGTACATAATGCATTCACTTCAAGTCACACCTAGTCTAGATTAGTGTTTCTCAGTGTTTACAAATCACCTGTGGTTTTGAACCTGAGAGTGAGTATACTAATGCCTGGAAGCTTTCTCTGGCATGACGAGCAGTAGGAGGAATTATATGAAGTGTAGAAATAAAGGGCCTAAGAACTAGTCAGCTCTCCAGTGAATTATTCTTCACTGTACTGACATAAACACACATGGTAATGAGCTTGACTTTTCCCAAAAGTATAATTCTTCTAGTTCTAAGTAAGAAAATGTCACTCCATAGACAGAAATAAGAACCAAATTTATTCATTATAGTTGGTTGGGAAAGGCTTAGAAATTAGAGTGCTAGAGAGTGTCGTGTTTCTGCTTTTAGTAGGCTTTAATTTGAATGTTGCTGGTATAAAGATATTTTAAAACCTTGAACTTTGGATTAGTAGTAAATATAAAAAACTTTTGTAAGTTTCTTCAAACACTCCAAACAAAAATCACACAGTGCTTTTAGGCTATGAGAGTAACTTAGGCTCCCTTGTGCTTAGTTTATTTCTTGAAGCTCATTTGTAATCTTAAGATTGGGTTTGCCCACAGGTAGGGAACTGGACAAAGTAGTGTGGGACCATTGAAATTGGACTTTCCAAGCAAAATTGAAAATTTTTTGTTATATAGCTAACATCCTTATTTCTTCTAAAGACCTTCAGCTTTCACATAAATGAGCTTTCCCAAAATCTTCACCCCACCATGTTTCAAGAACAAACCCAAGTGTCTCCCTTTCTGCACATAGCCCATCAATCCTTCAGCTTTCACGCATGCTGCAGTGCCTTCCACATACTTAGTTTAACGTTTTTGGTCCTAAACTGATATTTACCTTCTAAATCTGTGCCTGGACTACAACTGGTGGTTTCAGTTTGTGGAAATATATTTTCTCAACTTAAAGTTAACATGGAACATAGTAGGTTTGTTGTAAAGGGCTTGAAATGCCATGCATGTTTACCTTCTGTGTTAGGTTGATAGTTAACATTGTAGGTTCTTTGATTAGTTAATTTATATAAAATAATTATCACTGAACTCTTTGGGCCAGCCCTTTACATAGCTTTTGATTTACTCTACACAGTAACCTTCTAAGGTAGGTATCACTGTGTTACAGAAGAAGTTGACTGAGAGGTTGAGTAATGTGTCCAAGGTCACACAGCTTTTAAGTTGCAAGGCTGTGGTACTAGCCCCATGATGACTCAAAACACACTATGCTTTTTCCTGCACCATACCATGTTGCGCTTCCTTCAGAAATGATAGAAATCCTGCAAAATGAAATCAAACTAGAAGTAAATCCTCTATAGCCTCTAACAAAGTAAACAACTCAGTGGATTTACTGGGTTTTAAATATTTTTCCTAGGGAAAATAATCTGGCTGATTTTATACCAAATAGTTGCTGGAGATAATTTATTTTATAAGCTTCTGCATTTGAACTTAATTATTGGCTCTTCAATTTTAAGTTACTAGGCCTTTGGCTCCCCCCCCCC